CTCTGCTCAATCTTTCTACACTGCATAAGTACATGTATAAGCATCAGGAAATGTAATAAAATTGAGGAATTTACTATGTGTCAGTTTTTGTGAAATCTTTTAAAAATCCCTGTACTATAGTACAGGGACTTTTGTCTAATTTTCGAGCAACTTTAAAAAATCATAGAAAATCTAACTGTAATTGGAATCTGCTCAATCTTTCTACACAGCATAAGTACATGTATATACATCAGGAAATGTAATAAAACTGAGAAATTTTTTACTTGTCATTTTTTGTGAAATTTTTGAAAAATCCCTCTACTATAGTACAGGGACTTTTGTCCAATTTTCGAGCAACTTCAAAAAATCATAGAAAATTTAAACTTGATTGGAATCTGCTGAATCTTTCTACACAGCATAAGTACATGTATATGCATCAGGAAATGTAATAAAACTGAGAAATTTTCTGCTTGTCATTTTTTGTGAAATTTTTGAAACATCCCTGTACTATAGTACAGGGACTTTTGTCTAATTTTCGAGCAACTTTAAAAAATCATAGAAAATTTAAACTTCATCGGAATCTGCTCAAACTTTCTACACTACATAAGTACATGTATATGCATCAGGAAATGTAATAAAATTCAGGAATTTACTATGTGTCAATTTTTGTGAAATTTTACAAAAATCCCTGTCCTATAGTACAGGGACTCTTTTCCCATTTTGAAGCAACTTTAAAAAATCATAGAAAATCCAAACTTGATCGGAATCAGCTCAATCTTTCTACACTGCATAAGTAAATGTATATGCATCAGGAAATGCAATAAAACTGAGAAATTTTCCGCTTGTCATTTTTTGTGAAATTTTTGAAAAATCCCTCTACTATAGTACAGGGACTTTTGTCCAATCTTCGAGCAACTTCAAAAAATCATAGAAAATTTAAACTTGATTGGAATCTGCTGAATCTTTCTACACAGCATAAGTACATGTATATGCATCAGGAAATGTAATAAAACTGAGAAATTTTCTGCTTGTCATTTTTTGTGAAATTTTTGAAAAATCCCTGTACTATAGTAAAGGGACTTATGTCTAATTTTCGAGCAACTTTAAAAAATCATAGAAAATTTAAACTTTATCGAAATCTGCTCAAACTCTCTACACAGCATAAGTACATGTATATGCATCAGGAAATGTAATAAAATTGAGGAATTTTCTACTTGTCAATTTTTGTGAAATTTTTGAAAAATCCCTGTACTATAGTACAGGGACTTTTGTCCAATTTTGAAGCAACTTTAAAAAATCATAAAAAATCCAAACTTGATCGGAATCAGCTCAATCTCTCTACACTGCATAAGTACATGTATATGCATCAGGAAATGTAATAAAATTGAGGAATTTTCTACTTGTCATTTTTTGTGAACTTTTTGAAAAATCCCTGTACTATAGTACAGGGACTTTTGTCCAATTTTGAAGCAACTTTAAAAAATCATAAAAAATCCAAACTTGATCGGAATCAGCTCAATCTCTCTACACTGCATAAGTACATGTATATGCATCAGAAAATGTAATAAAATTGAGGAGTTTTCTACTTGTCAATTTTTGTGAAATTTTTGAAAAATCTCTGTACTATAGTACAGGGACTTTTGTCCAATTTTTGAGCAACTTAAAAAAATCATAGAAAATCCAAACTTGATGAGAATCCACTCAATCTCTCTACACTGCATAAGTACATGTATATGCATCAGGAAATGTAATAAAAAGTTGGGGTGATTTTGGAGCCATTTTTTGGAAAAAACCATTAGTACAGGGATTTTTTCAAATTTTTGACGTTTTCTTAAAATGGCCATAAGTTGAAAAATTGAACTTGCAATCAGCTCAAATTTCTACACAGCATATGGACATCAATATGTATCAGTGATTTCTTATAAAGTTATCATTATTACCATATCCTTATGTTCATGGTAAGGTGTTTCTATTCCTTGTTGAGGGAAGACCACACAAGTGAGGTAACTGTCTCCATTACTAGGATCAGTCTGGAGCTGAAACTCTGACAATGGCTTTGACTATAAGATAAATAAAATAACTAATAATAGGGCAGCTGGTAATACTGGAGGGGAATTTTGGGTAATTGTAACATTTTTGTTTATTAATTGGCAGGTTTTAATTTTGTAAATGATTATAAAAGTGCAAAATTGGTCAGTAATTCCCCCTCAAGGTATAAACAGATTATTACTAACATTAACAACCTAATAATAATAATAATAATGACTGTACAATTGTACATATCAAATGGTAACTGCTTCTCTGCT